GTTAATAGATATCTAATAACTAACTATCTAACGTCGTCGAGGTCTCGAATTAAGATATATTTAAAGTTAATACTTTTATATTATAAAGCTTACTATATTTAAAATAAAAGCTATTATCTTATTAATAAATTATATATATTTTATTAATAGTAATAAAGCTAAGTCGTAAGATAAAATCGATATTCTCTATTATAATAATTTTAAATATATTATTATCTATAAAGATTTTAGAGCTAATAAGCATATATATATAGAATTCTTTAGCGATATTATATAGATTATTCTTATTATTACTCTCGCCGTTTAAGATAAAAGCTCTAATATTAAATAGTATATTAATTTTTCTTTATTAATTTAGCTATAATATATTAAATAAGTAGATAATTATCGCTACGTTATTCGATTTTAATAGAGATAGAGAGTAAAAGATAAGACTCTTTTTAAAGTCTATTCTTGCTATTAAAATAACGTCTTTATCGTTAAATAAATAATAAATTATTTATATCTATTTCAATTTAAGCCTATTTTTGACCTCGCTTAGGTTTATATACTATTGCTCGACTTTATAACTCGATTAGAGTATAATATTATTAAATATTTATATTATCTAGATACTTTAAGATATCGACGATTTTATAGCTAATTACTATCGTTATATTAAAAGTAGGATATTAAATATTAGATTTAAAAGTAGTATAGAAGAAGATATTAATATTGCTAATAGTATATAAGATACTATTAAAATCACGGTAACCACTCTGCTTCCTCCGCACTTTCGCGATATCTAGAATCTTATCTTAATAAGAGCGAGGAAGAGTTCGACCCGCTACTCGTTTTTTAAAATTCTATAAAATCGCTAAAGTAATCTCCGCTTTACTTCCGTGCGCGGGGAATTAAATATATAAATTTTTAAATTTCTTTCGATCCGAATTATTAAAAGTTTTTAGACTTCGCTATTATATAGAGGAAGAATATTACTATAAGATATAGAGAGGTTAATATCTAAAGTTCGAAGATATCTCGTCGTCGTCGTTATAAAGAAAGTTAGATATTTAAATATTTCTAATATATTCTATATTTATATAAGCTCGTTCTAAGCGCGCTAATCGCGTTAATATTATTTAAGATATATATACTATAATTTCTTTAACTTCTAAGCGAAGCGTATTTGAGTTAATATATATTTCTATAGAGGGCGTATCTCGAGTATTCGACTTTCTAATTAAGGGTAATATAATAAATCTACCTAAATAATTCCTTAACTTAATTCGTTATATAATCTTTTAATAATACTAAAGATAATATACTATTATTTAGAATTTTTCTAATAAAGATTAATTAGCTAAAGGTGAATACTATAAGCGTTAGCGGAGATCGCGGTCTTAGATTAGCTTATACGATAATAATAAGCTATTCGATTTTAATAAAAGGCTTAAATACTTAATTAGCGACCTCGATAGATTTATTCGCCCCGCGATTAACTTTAAAGAATTATATAATAATCGTGAAAGAATCGTTAAAAGTCGCGAATTTCGTATTTCGATTAATTATTACAGGTATCTTATATAAAATAACGGTTAATATAGCGATTCCAGGGTTTCCTACTTAGACTCTAGAGGGGGGGTATGCCGTAATAAGCTTGCGATATGATTGGCCCCCGAAGGTAGCTAGGATGGTGCTCAAGTAGGACGTTCTGGACGAGGGAGGAAGACGTTTGTGTTTCTTCAGTACACTCCGGAACACACTTCGATGGGTCGAGGCAGCCAGCGGCAAAGAAGGGTGAGTCGTACTGTGAACGAAAGATGAGAAGGGGAGGGCCGAAGTGGTGGGCAACGTAAATGCGAAAGGCATGTTCTCTCATGCAGGGTGAACGGCAGGCAATATGCCAGAGCAAGTGTCAGTCGAAGGGGGAGACGTCCTAATAAGTCGATAGGAGTAGCATCAATGAGCATGTTTTGCCGCTTTCGAATGCTCTTCTCTTACAGAAAGTGCATACATGTAGCTTAAAGATTGCTTCTCAATTGATTTCATCTTTGAACATTATTGTGAACCGAAAGCGTTAAATCTATTACGAAAGACAGTGTCACTTGGATTCATGCCTAGAACCGACGTGGAAATAAGTATACAACAAGTTTCAATGCTTCAGACGTTCACTCTTTTTTGATGCAGTCTTTTCACCGTAGCTACCCTGCATTCGTGCTGTCTCCGAAAGCTTCGAAATTTCCTCATCAGGAATTTGCCGCCTGGTGCCGCCAACAGTATTCCTACCCCCCATTTACCAATGGACGAGCAGCTTCAAGATTGCCCAAGTCCATTTTTCGCAGACTCACAAGTTTCCTGATGGATTGAATAGTCTTCTGTCTCCGCCTTTCATGTGAAGTCGCGCTTCCAATTTCAAAGGACGCGCCATGGATATAGCAGAAACGATAAGCTGCCAGTGCAACGAGTGCAATATTCTCATTTGTATCTCGTTAAATGATTGGATCGAAGTTTCGACTTCTTATTCAACGTATGAAAGCCCAGGGGCTTTCACGGATCCAGGCCTAGAAATGGTGGAGCAGATCCGAGAGGGATCCAAGGACTCGGAGTTGGAGGGTTGCTTGGTGAAACCTTTGCGATGCCACCGCTGCAAGACGACGTTGGGAGTGAGGTGCGTGGAGGCACCGGTCGAGAAGAGGACGAATGTGTAAGCAGAAGTTTCGTTAGTGTATTGTTCCTAGTAAAGACAGTGATCCATTGTAAGATACCAACAATGCTGTTGAAGTCCATTACGCCTCTCCATGGTTCTAGAAGCGGCTGCTTGGTTTGGAGAAAAACTCCGCTCTTGTGACAGGTCTAGATCATGAGGGACTAACTCTCCGCCCTGTAGCAACCGCAGCTACCTCAAGCTTACCAAGATGACCATGAAGTCTATCACATCAGGCAATCTTGTGGAAGCAAAACCCAAGAAACGCCAGAACAATGTTCTGGACACCAGCCCAAAAGACCCTTTGGCTTCTATGCCGAATTTGTCAGGGCCAACATCGTCCAAGCAGCGATCAGTACCCCACCGAAGGGGCAGCGAGATTGAAGATACCGAAGCACCTTCTTCTGGTCAAATCTTCGAGCTGAACATTGGACAAACCGCTGATCTTATGCCAATTCTCGGGGAGCAGAGAAGAGATATTGACCGTGTCATGGCAAGTGTGAACATTTTGCAGCAAGACATGATCTCTGTCAGGGAATCTGTCCAGCATTTGGAGGATAGGAGAGACCAGGCATCTCAAGATTTCGCTGGGGACGTTGATCTGCTCACGGATAGTATTACAAAGGTCAGCAGCAGACTGAGTGAGCTTGACGCACTTAAGCTCGAGATGAAAATGATGCAGCAGCGTATCAAGCGCATGGAGGATTCAAGGCCAACGGGGCGGCGATCATCTACAGGACTAGGTTCTGCACAGGTATCGAACCGACCATCGCCTACAATCGACGAAAAAGCAATTCCACGCAATGACGCAACGTCAAATGGATTGCTTTTATCAGCTACTCAATCACCAATGTCCGCATATTTTGACGGCTTGTTGGCACCCCAGAAAACCGCCTCTGAGAGACATAATGCGGTGGATGGAGGCGATCCACCTTTTCAACGGCTCTCATTGGGATCCAAAGCCGAAGCGCTGCCACCCCAGAAAATAGTTGCCACGAGGCCAAGAACGCTCATCAATGGCACCGCCAGCAGAGGAAGCCACACCTCAGTCAACATGCCACCTCCCCAAATACCACGTAAGGGGCCAGACCAGAGTACCATCAGGCACGGGAGCTCAACCGCCAGTGATGTGGCTACTCCTCGCACAGCATCGACGTCTATCACGGGTAATACGGATTCAACCATTCTTTCACGAAATATATCTCAATTGCAAGAGACTTCCACTGGCTCTCATCAAAATAACCAAGACGACCATAAATACGATGATGAGCTTGTCGACGACGTCCGCCCTCAGTCATCGACTGGGTCATCAACTAGGAATTCTTGGCAGCCAGCAGGCAAGACTGCTCAGAATCGAGCAGATCAAAGCGCCCAGCAGCCTCCACCCAAGACCAAACGCCGACAAAGTGTGCCAGTGGCTCCTCCCATTTCCGAGCCCAGCGACGGCAACAAGACAGCTCGCGGCCGCACCACCCATCGCAACAGCAAGCGCCGCAAGACCACCGCTTTCGATGCGAGCACTCCAAGCACTTCAGTCTGGGACGTCGACTCTCGAGACTCGAGATCTAGTAGCGGTCGACGTGATGAGCATGGTCTTCTCCACAGAGCTAATGGTGAGGTTGATGGAAGATCTGCACGATATCAGAACCTGGAGAGTAAGGGGGGAAGAAGCCTGGAAAGAGGGACAGAGACGGCTATCTACTGAAGCCGGATGGCACGAGGGATCCTCGGTCTGTGAAGAGTGTGAATCAATGGAAGAAGAAGAAGGCGGAGGCGGAGCTGTCAGGATGAGTGATGGGAGGGTGAGGGTGCTGTATCGCACTTCTCGAAATGAGGGGTTTGAAGGGCTTGCCATCGCATATGGTACCATACTGGCTTTTGCTGTCTAAGTGGGGATGCAATACCATGCTACTGCTCAGTATTTATCACAGCACAATGGTTGCTTGGTATCAGAATATGAGAGCTATACCTGCTGGTCTCCACCCCTGACGAATGCGACACAGCAGGACGGCTAGATCTTCGGTATCGAGCTTACCATAAGCCTTACAATCAAGTTACGTCATCAGAATCATGCTATTGCAAGCTGCTCGATTGATCTAAAACACTTTGCATGCTATGCTATCGCAAAATCACGACTCGCTAATTTTTGCTGAACCTCATTTCCGCTCGCTCACAAACATGCATGCAATCTCAACCCTTACACACAAGAAAACCATACCCGTTGAACCCCGCAAGCAGGGCCAACGGGCTGGCGAAAGAGTCGTACTAGTAGTGGGCAATGACCCAAACCACACCGCGACTCAACCCGTAAGTCCTAACTCTTGCCGGTAGCATTGTTGGTGTTGGAAGTAGCCTCGTCAATCTCTCTGCCCTTTCCCTTGTCCTTGCTCGATCCTTCGCCGTTCTTGCTCGCTCCAAGCGCAGCGGTGCTCTCACGACTCTTGCGATCCTCAGCCACCTTGAACTTGTCCTTCTCGACTTCGACGACGAAAACTTTCTCTCCCGGCTTTCTGATATTCTTGCTGATGCCGACGAAGAATTCGCAGCGGAAGCGTAGAAACTCCTTGTCTCTTGCCGATGTCGCACCAATCCTTGGTTCCACGACCGTGATTTCATCCCCAGTCCTCAGTCTGCCCCATAAGTACTCCCCTCTCCCTTTCTTCAACTTTACTCCGTTAACCAGCACATACAGAGACGCGTGCGTGCGTAAGATCGCCTCCAGCTTTGGATGATTCACCCAGTTCTTCTTGTCGGCGTCGATGTCGGCCTCGATCCCTGGGTACCACATCTGGATGTCGAGGGCTTGCTTGGGGATACGGTCGTCTCTGGGGTTGGGGTGAACGAACGTGGAGTCGGGTTTGCGGCCGTAGGTGGTTAATCGCTCTGTGATGTAGATGGCGGGTGTATGGATGGAGCCGCGTGTGGGCTGGAGGTTGCCGAAGCGGAGAGGAGGCTTGACAAAGGATGCGGTTGCTGTCGGGGCAAGATGGGCCGTCGCGTCAAAAATCGCGGTGCCGGTCATGGGTTGGGGGATGGTAGAAGTTGGGTCCGCGTGCGAAGATGTGGGGCGTGAAGAGGCTCGCGAGATGGGGCGAGAGGTGGTGCGAGATGCTGCTTTTGCTGCTTTCTTGGCTTTAGCAGCAGCGAGTGCTTCTTCGAGACGTAAGACTTCATCTTCACTGTCCCCGTCATATCCCATCATGATGTCATCATCCTCTGCTCCAAAGTGTTGAGACGACTCGCGGCTGTTGAATGCTGTCGTTGGCAAGTCGTCATTGCTCTTGAATGCTCCACGTGACTGTTGGCCATCTTGATATCCGCCGTAGTTACTACCTCGTAGGCCGGGTATGGACATTGGAGACATGCTCTTCTGTCTAAGATCTTCGATCGACGCGCGACGCGCCGCAGAATATCCCTCAAACGTGTTAGGTAGCTCGCCAGGTGGGTGTTCAATACCAGTAGTCTTGGGTCGCTTAGAAGCTCCTTCGAATTCGGGAGGTAGCATATCTTGGCTGGAACGCTTGGAGTTAGGCTGAGAAGACGGAGAGTCGCGGTCTTTGGACAATTTTGGGGTGGCGGGCTTGCCATTCTCCGCTCGAGCAGATGCGCCAGATCCAGTAGACGTCATGTTGAGCTGACCAACGAGTACCTCAGTACCAAGCAGACTGGGTGCAGCTCCGCTGTGTGTAGGACCAGGTAAGCGTTGTGAATGCTGAACGTCGTCTTTTGTGGTCCCTCGATTTGTATTTTGTTGATGATCGGCATGGGTGTTAGACACATTTGCCGCGCTAGCGTCTTCTGGGCTGCCAGCACGAGAATCATTGTAAAGACCTTCGGAAGATTGGTCGTAGCTTCCAGGCCCATGTCCATGTCCATGTACTCGCAACGCGCGATTACCCTCTGTACCAAGGGCGCCGGAGCTAGCAAGTGCAGACGTTCCAATCTCGCCGAAAAGCCGATTTGGCTGCGGTTGAACTCCCATATTGTTTGCAGAAATTTGGGGTGGCGGACACGTCATGTCCAGCGGTGGGGCATCGGCCCAGTTTGCTTGCTGATGGTTTCGAGCCACCATCGATGGAGTCTCTCCCCATACGTTCCGTGTGACGTCCGGAACCCAAGCTCGAGCACGTTTAGACGCACGAGGATCTTCGGTCGCATCCCCGACTGGTTCTTCTGCTCTATCATCTTCCTCATCGCCAATGCTCAGCTGAGATGCATGAGCGTTCAGGAAGCGCTCGGCTGGGTCACTAAGAACACAGTCAGACGCATCTGCTGGGCCTTCAGCGACGCGAACCCATGGATGGTCTAACAATTCCTCGTCGGAAGCACGCTCAGAGGGATCTGTGACGAGCATCCCAGATAGAAAGTCGATGCCCAGGTGTGATACGCCTACCATCCTCAAGCGCTCCCAGTTCACCGGCTTGTGCATCACATTCCACAGCATATCCTCACCCTGAGGATCGTGTCTAGCAATAAAAGGTGCTTGTCCAGATAGCAAGTGGTAAAGCACGGCACCAAGACCCCATAAGTCAACAGAGTGCTGGTAGGGGAACGTGTGATCGTACCTGATACACTGTATCAGTACGACATGCCCTACAGGCGACATGGCCTCTACTTACTTTGGATTTGTACGCGAACGCTTGGATGGCAATGAGGCTTTGACTCTGTTATATCCCGGATAGACCTCAGGGGCACAGTACATCATCGTGCCACAGAAAGTCTTGAGGAAAGTCTCTTTGTTGGTGACGATTTTCGAGAGTCCAAAGTCGGATAGCTTGAAGACATAGGGGCAATCACTTTCCATCAGGACGTTGTCGGGCTTAAGATCCCGGTGGGTGATACCACGTTGATGCAGGTAGTCCAGAGCCTGCAAAATCTGTCGAGCGACATGCATCGACATATACTCCGGCATTGGAGCTCCATTACGGGTCCACGCGCCGAGGTCTCCATAACGAACGTACTCCATTACAATGAAGAGCCACTGAGCTGTCTCATGATGGTCGACATACTTCACGATGTTGGGCTGGTGAGGTGTCAGTCTTGCCGCGTCTTCTTGGAGAGTAGGAGCACTTACATGACGTAAGCCCTTGATGACATTGAGCTCATTGTAGATCTTGCTTGAAAGGCTCCCATCTTTGACAAGACGACTCTTGTCCAACTGTTTCACAGCAAACACTACACCATCTCTCTTCGAGGACACCTTGTATACGTTTGCAAAGGCTCCCGAGCCAACAAAGCCAACAACGTTATACTTGGCACCACCACTCCAATGCATGCCGTGGGAGTTGGCTCCAGTCGCAGCTGCCAACAGAGATGTGTGGGGCGAAGTGTCCGGCCTCACGCCCTGCGGCAAGGCGTGCATAGGGACCTGCTTCTGGGTCAGATTCTGTGCCAGCAAAAAGTTGTAGAAGCTTTGAATCTTACTGGGGGGTACGACCGGAGCATTACCGTTTCGTGCAGCTTGAGCAAGAAATCCATGTTGTCGTTCTGCTTGCTCAACACACTTGATGTATGCATAACAATTCTGGGTGTACTTTTCAATGCCGACTTCGCTCCTCATGGGCATCTTGACACTGAATCTGATAGACTGTCCGCGCTGTTTTCCCTGGAGAGGAAGCTCAATGGTATCACCGTTACAAAGGGTATGTTGTGATTCGCGATTGGTATCCGAGGAGTCGCCCTTAGGGCCGTGTAAGACGATATCGTCAATGATTGTGCCATTAGTGGAAGTGTCCTCGATCATGAGACTTCCGTTATTCTTCATGAAGATTCGAAAGTGGCGATTACTAATCATGTAGGTGTCATGATTGGTGAGCAACAAGTCGCACCTCGCAGGGTTGCGGCCAAAGGTAAAACCTAGGCCAAGATTGTGAACCTTTGAGGAAAATCGAAGAGCAATATCCTTTGCGGGTCCATCCCATTTTGACTGGTTCGGATCAGGAGGCTGGGCACTTAAGTTCTCGGAATCGTCAGATTCGTCACCTGATCTTGTATCGCCTCCAGTAGTCATGTCTTCGTCAGGAGCTTTGTATATGTGAGACATGCCATGATTCTGTAGAATATGTTGAGGTGCTGCATTAGCAGTAAGCTCGACAGCCTCATGAGCTGCCGGTGATGTAGGGAGGAGGATGCAGATGATGTCTGATTCATCTTGCTCGCTGAGCATGCTATTGAAGCCTTCTTGACGAGCGACTGGCTGAGTAGCTGGTTGGGTGCATTGTTCTTCCATGGCGTCGAAACCTTTGTATTGAGGAGCGGCTATAGGTAGTCGGCCGTTGCAATTGACCCCTTCTTTGTGTAAAGGCTAAGGTCGAGACAAGTTAGATCCCGCACTACTCAATGGTTCTGACACATAGATGGTGTGAAATGCTCGATACACGACAAAGTATTTATTGTGGCCGGGAAGAACCGAGGCAAATGGAAAGCGGGGAAGTTGTAATGGGAGGACGGTGGCATAGACTTACAACACGATGCTTGAGACGTACAGTGAGCCGAGTGCCTCCAGGTATTATCTCAGTGCTCTCAGAAGACGAGCTACGAACGATCTCGTCGAGGGCACTGTCATCGAACTCTTCTTGATGAGGATAGTCAAAGCGGTTGACACGAGAGTCGATAACCTTCTGGTTGTCAAGATTGCAGTCACGGGGAATAACGGCCTCTTCTTCACCAAGGTCGTAGTCGCCCCCGTCGACGGCGCTAGCGTCACCAAGGTGGAGGTCACCGTGACCCCGAGTAGGTAACTGGGACGAGACCTCTAAATAGTCTAGGTCACCAAAGGGTAAATCCTCGCGATAGTCTGTGTCGGGTTGACTATCAGGGATCTCAGCTGGGAGGTATGGGTCAGGCTGGCTATCAGGGATTTCAGCTGGGAGGTATGGGTCAGGCTGGCTATCCGGGATTTCAGCCGGAAGCTCTGAGCGTGTGCTCTGGTACTCTTCATGCTGGTCAGCGTTGTCATCTTCGTAAAGCGAGAAACGAGAGCGATGATTGTCTCCTTGGCTAGGGTTGTTACGAGTGACGAAAGACATGATTGCAAGGTCGTAGTGCTATATTTGTGCGTTGTGTTGGGGTTGTGTCAGGCGAGTGCGGAGGTCGCAGGGTGAGTCAGTGCGGCACCACTTCTGCGAATTGCAGAGGGGCAACACTGTGTAGAAAGCTTGAAGCAGAATCTTTGAAGGCCTTGATGGCCACGTTGAAAGCACACAAGCTTGATGGAAGAGAAGTCGGGGAAATGGGGAAGGGTGGTAGGTTGGAAGGTTGAGGGAGGAGGAAAGATAAATGAGATTTTCGGGCATACATAGCAACCACCCCGGTCACACAAATCGGTCTAACCTCGGGCGATAGCAACCAGCTACTTTCAATATGACACTTGTTGTAAGATCTTCCACCCTCATCAACCATCGTCACCACATCACCTTTAGATGTATGTCTCCTGTCCTATTGCTCTATCCCTTGTCCTCTTGCCGTGTCGTCCGAGTCTTGAGGCTAACTGGCATGCAGCCTCAGTATTGGCATTGCAATAATGCCTTTCATTAACTGGCTCAAAAGTAGGCAATCCAAACCGCAAGCAGCACACGAAGACGAACGGCCTTTGACCGCAAATCGTCGACGCCTAAGAGGTACTGATAAAAGCCGTCTAGAACGATCTGGCAACGTCTCTGGGCTTCAGGCAACGCTCACAAGGCAAGAAATACACGAAAAGCCGACGTAAGAAACAATAGCAGCACAGCAATTGAAGAGAAACTGACAGAGAGAAAGGACTGGCAGCGCAAAGCCGGAGAAAGGCAACAAGAAACGAAAGCAGCCAAAGCAAAGGGACGATTCCAATAAGAGCACAAAGATGGCAAAAATCAAGCAGGCACTTGGGCGGTTGATAAGGAGGACGGGAAAGGGAAGGAGGAGAAGCCAGAGAGGTATGTACAAGTACAATAGAAAGAGAAACTCAAGGCTTGCAGTCATTTTTGGTTACTGGCGGGAGATCGACAAGTCTAACGATATTGGTTCTAGACGCCCTGGACCAACTGAGGCCAGCGGAACACAGAATGCCATTGGATCCATGATGTTTCTGAGGGTGAGTGGAATGAGAAGAGTATGATGTTACAATGCAGTCAGTGGTCTTGTGGAGAGCAGCTCTATCTATGTGGCCCCCTGCGTCTGGTGGCTACAGAAAACTTCCTCTGAACATTCCAAGACATTCCCGTCTCAGCAAACATCGAGAAAAGCTAACGCATATGTCTTGCATACAGGTAATTGTTCCAAAGAAGACGGCAGAATCCTCCTGTGCAAAGGCCGGGTTGTAAAAGCACATTTGGCCAACAGATCTGGCTATTTCGGTGCAATTTTCAGTTGGATGGTGCTTCAAGCTACTCAATGAAGTTTGTGTACCGTCTGTCTACATTGCTTCTCCCATCCTAATAGTAGCCTGTGCTTTCTGAATATCCAATTCAAGATTTCCAATCCATCGACATATTTCCCAGTTCTATACACCGCTCTCCCACTTTAAAGAGAATGGCAGGTGTGCCAGTGGAAATGCTAACATTATTTGCTGGTCCATACTCTCCAACTTTCTTTCCCTCACAACCACATGCTCGTCTTCTCCATGCGCTCATACCCTAAGAATATTCGGTGAGGCTGGGCTGCCGGAGAACGATGGCACCACTCCGCTTACCTTCGCAGATTTCGCAGATTTTGAGCCTTGGACTACTGACACTGATGCATGTATGCTGTGTCGACTTTGCTGGGTATAATGGCTCTTATGCGTGAGACTCTGATCTGAATCAGAGGACTCGCTACATTCTACGTTTACCTACAGCTCCAGTGAAGTATAGGGAAGGGTCTACTTGGGGGATAGTGAGTACTAACGACGGATAATCTTGGGGTAAAAAGAATGCTTGATGGTCCGCCTGAGCATGCTCAACCGCAGATGGACAACGAGAAGAGCCGAGGATTACGGTGTCCGGCCTACGAAGCGGCAACATCAAGCTCACGAGGGCCGATGTATTTAATCAAAGGTATGATCGGAAGAGAAGTAAGGTAACGGTTGACTGCAACCGCCGGCAGTCATTCAACTAAAGCATATGGGTAGTGACACCTGAACACGGTACATACGGGCTTGCACCGAGATGTCCCCATGGAGTAATTGTACCTCTGTTCAAGCGGTAGACACTCTCGACTTCCTATCGTTCAGAAACCTTTTCTTTAGACGACCTCAACCGCAACTCTTCCACTCCCCAGACTTGCTCCCTTACGCAGGGCCCGAGCCTACCCCAAGACGAATCCCAGCCTTCTACCTAGCCTCTTCTGGCTCTCCCTCCTTCAGCATTCCACTCATCCCATTTCATGGCCCGAAAATGGGAAGGAAGGCCGCCCATGCGGTTTCGCTAACAGAGAAGTCAGTCATCAGCACACACCACTCTCGAGATCGAATCCACATACGAATTCGCCCTTCGCGTTGCGCCGAGCTTCCTCCTCAAGCGTAATCCTGTCATGCTGGGAAGCCAGGAAGCCAACCTGTGATGTTACCTGACTTGGTCAGCCTCGTCTCACTCTCCTCGATGCGTCACCATGCTCACATCTTTCCCCTTCTCAACCTTGCCCTCTCCTAGCCCATCCGCAGACCAAGATGGACTACCCTCCTCCTTCACGATCACAGTCTCCGCACTCTGCACATCCTGAACCAGCAACGCTCCAGTGGGACCAGGCCGTAACACATAAGACACCCGCATTTCCCCTGAAGCGAACAGATTCAGGAACTCCGCGAGCTGGATATTCGAAAGGCCGAAGGCGAGGTCGTAATCTGGACGGCTGGTGCGGTCTTCCGGAATGATGGTGAGGGAGGGCGGTGTGGTGTTGACGGCTTTGACCCCGCCGAAGTAGCGGGGTTCGGTTCCCATGCTGGGCTCAGCTGCACTCGTATAGGATTCCTGTCGAAGGAAAATTGACGGGTGTGGGAAGGTGGCCATGCTGGGCTCAATTCTGTTTATTGTGGGAAAGAAGATGGTACAGAATTCCCCAATTTAAAATACCGGCTCTTGCAGAAGGGTCTCCGAGATTTTTTGCGAGGTTACGTCGCCGGATGACGAGATTATGTTGTGTAACATTAAGCAGCGGGGTCGGAAAAATCACCATTTCCCAGCCGCCAGTCAGTGAAAAACGGAGAGATGGCGGGATTTGGCCAGCAAATGTGATGTGTGTTTTTGAATATGTGGATGTGTTGGTGGATATGTTGGGGATGAAGCTGTGTCTAAGAGAAGATGTGCACGGTTGTGTCCCTTCCTCAACAACACTGCTTGCTTGGCTTGATGATACAACCATCGAGGTATCAAATAAAGGTAGATTTCCGGAAAGTTAAAGGCTTTGTTCCGAAAGCTGCGTCTATCCGATCTGAAGAAGAAGAAAAAGAAGAAGAAAAAGGTAACAGAAAAAAGCGACAGCATTCCCCCCCAAAGCACCACCGGCCCAACGCGACCACGGCTGCGCACCTTCCACCCGCAAGAAGTCCCAATGGCAGCGAAACGCCTCCCAAAAGGCAGCGAAACGCTCCACCAAAGCCAAAGCCAAGTCCCAGTCCCGAAAAAACCTCCCCGTCCGACTTCGAACCGCCAGCAGCCCACCCGACCGACCTAGCACGTACTCGTACCAACCCCAAACTCCCCGCCCCTCGCCCAAATGCACAGCCCTTCGATCCCAAAAAAAAACCCGCAAACCGCCGGCAGCCTGCCCGATCGGCCGGGCGTGTACTAGTACCCCTCCCTTCTCCTTCGCCCACGACGCAACGCACGTAGGCCACGGACACAACCTAAATGCCTCTCCCCCCCCCCCGTAAAAGCCCGGTCCGTCCCCCGTGGCTCGAAAACCGGGCGGCGGCCTATGTTGTAAGTTAGATACCCGTTTGAAAAAAGAAAAAAAAGAAAAAAAGGACCGCGGGCGAAAGTCCACATTCTGCATCCGATGGAAACGGAAGAACGCCGTTTCCAAAAAAAGGGGCTGAGTGGCTTCGGACCCACGGAATGACGAGGGCGAGCCGGAGACGGCCGGAGAGCCCACATGCTGCGGTTTCGAGCCGGCCATCTGGGGCTCGGTGGCTCGGGGGGGTTTCGAATTGAGGTTTTTTTTGGTTTGGTGCAGGGAGGTTGGAATTGAGTTGTTTTTGGTTTGGTGCAGGGAGGTTCGAATTGAGGAGGTTTTTCTCTTTGGTTTGGTGCAGGGTGATGGGATCATTGGATTTGGTTTCCGTTGGACGTGTGACGGAGCACGTGGTTGGGCAGGCAGGGTTCTGGGCGACGAGCATACCCGACAGCGTGGAAGAACAGGGAAGAGTCAGAAAAACCGTTCGTTAAAGAATGGCGGGATGCAGCGCAAACGAGAAACCCGTTGAGCCATCCGGCAAGAGATCCGCTGGGGCTTCAGACATATGATAGACATCACAGAAGAACAAAAACTGGTCAAGAACCCGATCGAGAATTTCGACGTAGAGCCCTCATTTCCATGCTCGAGTCCCGTCGTAAAGCATGCAAGTCCGCCAGCAAAATGCACCACCACCACCACCATCACACAGCCCTCACCTCTCGCCCCAATCCCATTCAAGGCCCCGCAGACTTCCGGAAAAAAGGGACCGCCGGAAAGCCCATCGACCGTTCACCGCATCCCACTCGCGATCCCTCACCCCCTCATCCTTTCCCCCTCCCGCTCCTCGTCCTGCCCTTCTCCCTCCCGTCCAACCGGTCCCTCCACGGATCATACGGCGAAGCCACGACGTGCTCCGGCGCCCTCGGCCTGGGCTTCACGTCCCCGTCCCGGAGCGGCTCGCCGGCCACGGGTCGGGACCGCTGCTCCTCATGCAACTTGTCCAGCGATGCGCCCACGATGTGGTACTTCGCCCAATTGACCGGCGGCATACGCACCACATTCTGCCCGGACGGGATCTCCCCAAACGCCACCCCCCCACCCATCCCCACCGTCGCACCGTCGTCTCCATCCCCCAACCCACGCACCTCCCCACCACCATCCCCCCCATCCGCCTCCCCCCTACGCGTAGGGTCCCCTCCGTCGAAGCCCTCCCGCCGCACCTCCCCCACAGGGCCGAGGATCCCCCGCATCCCCCGCGCCCTGACCTTCCCACCGGCCACGGCCCGGGCGAAAGCTTCCGGGTCGGCGACGGCGGCTTCCTTTTGCCGTTCCAGCGTCTGCATGTCCCGCAGCGCCTGCTGCCGCTGCAGTTGCAGAACGGACATGGCCGCGCGGAGGGCGATCGCGTCCGGGTTGCTGGTCTCGCGGACGGGGACGGGCGGGGGCAGCTCTGGCATTTGGGGCGTGGGAGGAGGAGGTGGCGCGGGTTGGGTGGGTGAGGACTGCGGGACGGGCGGGGGAGGCGCGGGAGGGTGTTGGGTGCGGGGTTTGGTGTAGCTGCTGCTGCTGCTGCCGGCCGCCTCGGTGGAGGGAGCGGGGAGGGAGTTGGGCATGGTGGGGGTTATGGGGGAGTAGGGCGGTGCTGTTGGGGAAGGCGGACGGGGGTCGGGTTGCCGGGCATTGTGTAGGGGATCGGGTGTGCGGGGAGGGATGGAGAGAGGGGGCATGATGAATCGCTGGATTTGCTGCGCGAGGTGAGGTTGAGAGTGAAGGAGCCGGCGGAACGGAAAGGGAAGGTTTGGCGAGAGATGGATTTAGTGCGGAGGTACGAGCCGTGAGATTGATTGAGCTGAAGGGAGTTATGGGTCACGCTGCAAAGAAGGCACGATGGAGGTAGTAATACTGACTTTCATTGAGTAAGAGCAGGAGCCAAGTCCTGTCTATAAGTGACCTCACTCCATAAACTTGTAAATCTCACAGGGGTATATAGCAAACAGCAAACTGCTTGTAGCAAACGCACACATAGACCCACAACACCACGCTCAATATCTGTCCCAAGATAGTTGCAATGTAGCCAGCTCAGAAACACCGCCCAAGATGGAAATGACTAGCAGGGAAAAGCAAGCAGCACACCATCAGAGATCCCTATAATTAACCGAGAACTCCAACGCTTCACATAAGGCATAACAAGAGACGAATTACTTTTTGAACAAAGCCATCCGACCCTTCCTTCTCAAAGACCGGCCACCCTCCGGCGTTGGCGTGATGATCCTCTCGCCGCTGGCATTGACATCCGTCGCCTGTTGAGGAGACTGCCATGGCGCTACAGTTTGATTCTTCAAGCTCATGCCCAGCCCCAACCTCTCGCGCGTAGAGTTGTGTCTGGCAGGCGCTGTTGCAGGTGAATCCGAACTTGGCGTACTTATGGTATTCGGAAAGTAAGATGTAATCGGTGGACGTTGAGATGACGCATCTTTCTGGACCGGTGGTTCCCTGCGAAGCATAGAGCTAGTGTGGGACCCTTCTCCTGACGTCTGTGGGCGCTGATTGCTGGGTTGGAGAGGAGTGGGTCTGGGTTTTCGTTTCGCCGCGGCGGGAGGACCAAGGATGTTGACTCCAGCTGACTTCACAATGACTTCTTCAGCAGACCCCGGCGCTTCTAACAAAGTAGTCTTGGTGTTCTCTTGAGAACTCTGTTCTAATATCGGCGAGGTGAGGCCTATGAATGGTGACGGTGCATCGGGTGTGGCAGGCGATGAATCATAAGGCGTGAGCACTGGCGAGTAGGAGAGAGCGGGTGGATTCGGTGAGCCAAAGCGATTTGGAGGAGACAGCTCGGTGGGTGGGAACGAAACAGCGGGCGGTCGAGGAAGATCTTGTGGGAAATATGACGAGTTCTGCTGTAGAGGAGGAGCACTCCAGGATGATGTAGTCCGAGATGTCGTACGCCTATGCTCCGTGGCAAAATCTATGGCAGAGCTTCCGCTATGATAGCTACTGGTCTCCCAGCCGTAAAGTTCAGCCAAATTGTTGCTGCTACCACTCTGTATTGACGCTCCACCGAGGGTACCACGACTGAGACGTTTTCTCGACGAATCTGCCGTAGATATAGCCCTACGCTCCGATCCTCCTGACCTTGAAGTGCCAAGCGGCCGGCTCAACCCTGACATTGATTGACTCGCCGCGTCCTGTTGCTTCTCCTTCTCTTTCAATGTCTGCGGAACACCGTCCCATTTCGAGTTGACTTTGGGGACCGTGACCGGCAGCTTCGCTGATGACACGCCTGGCATTCCGACTGCGGTGACTCGGCCACCGCCCTGCTTCATCAACTGCCGCTGGTAGTCTTGCAAAGCCTGTGCCGAAGGTTCTTTGACGCTGAATAGATTTGAGAAGAAGTTTGATCGTTTCTTTGCGAGGTTCGGGGAGGTCTTTGAAGAGGTTGACGATGGAGCCAAGGAGGACCGCCCCGGGCTGCAAGGAAGAGACATCTCCGAAGACGGCGACCGTGGTGAAGGGCAGAAATTGGAGTGCAGCGGCGAGGTGGGAGTGGTGGATACTGTGGACCTTGTAAATCCAGTGGACGCAGAGCTGACCGACTCGGTGTCGCATGATTTGGTTCGGTATGAGAGTTTGGGCAGCCTATTAGGCAGTGTTTGAGGATTCATGTACCCGGGGGTTGGAGACGCCATCATGAGCGCCTCCACGTGGGAGGGCACACGCGTTGTACGTTTGCGCCACTGTGGATAGATGCTACGGGAAGGATTGAGCGAAAGAGGTCACGGTCAGCCAGTCATTGCTTTTCTCAGCCGTAGGCAGAATGCGAAATGCTCGATTGGCTGGGGAGGATGAGCGGAAATACGGCTCGAGGTAGGTGGTACTTTATGCGAGAAGGACGGGAGGAGAAGCAAATGACAATGGTTGGAGAGGCAGAATGATTTTGTTTCACTCCGAAACGTGGAAGAGCGAGGGGTTTGGGTTGACGGGATATAATAAAGTAGAAGGTATGATTATTTTCTGAGTGGACAGACTACATGTATTTGATGATGAAGCGAAAGAAAGGGAGTCGCCGGCCTTTTCGATGACTACCGTCCCACGGCTCTTCACAATTTCAGCGTGTGCCCACAAATGCATCAATTCACCGGCTATGTCTAGGCTCTGGCCCTCAGCATCAATTTGGGCCTCTTAGGGCCGTTTGGGCGCAGCGGACGTTGCTGAGAGGCTGAAATAATGCAACTGTATGCGCGTGGAATAGCGAATTTGCACTGTTGGTCTGTTGCACCCAGACGGCAACTGTATGCGCGTGGCATAGTGTGGCATGATAGGAGCAGCTTCTGGATTGGTTGGAGACGCCGTGCTGACCTCATCTTTCATATCGTTTCCACGGGATCAATACAATTGTCTGACATTTAAACTTCAGGCGATCGCCAGATCTCATCTTAGCTTTTGATCACATATAAATGATATAAGGATGCTATGTTTTGAAATGAGTGTTCATTCGTTGAGATTTGGGGGATTTGCACAGGGATCATGAGTTGGCAAGACGTACCACCCCAAGCCAACGCCAAGACCGGCCGCGTTGGCTGGTCTAGACCTCGAAAACAGCGCCTCTGATCCTTTGGAATTGTCAGATCTGATACGTAACGTACCATGAGATCATTACTTTAGCTCATCTTGTACATGATCCGGCCAAGCTCCTTCATTATTATCATTATTATCGAATATTGAATATTAAAGTATCATTCCTTCAATCCTGCGTCGCTTGGCATTACCCGTATCCACTCTTAACGAAAAAGAGCAACTGCAACCGTGTCTATACGGAAGATCAACAAGATCGTCAATGTCAACTTTGCATGAACCCTTTAAAAAAAAAGACCGAGATTGTTAGACTGGTAACGAGCCGCTGCTATCTGATGATCTGACCCCAAGTTCCTGACCTGGGTGTGCGGCAGGGTTTCGTTGGAAGAAAGGCAAAAAAGCGTTTGAGGCGTTGGATTCGCACGTGTAGAAAAGTCAGATGTAAATGCCCGAAGGAGGTGACCGATGGGTACGATTGGACCAAGGAATTGGCGTTCGAGTAGGGCTGAACTGACTACAATGCAGCCGTCCGAGCATCTCCTTTTAAGTCTTGGCCTTCTCGACGAGGCGTCGACGGTGGAATGCATGGTGGCTGAAGTGTAGCGGTGGTGGTGAGAGGAGACAAGCTGCAGGGCAGTCAACACTTTGGCTTTCGAATGTGCTAGCATGCATGTATCGCTACCGGGTAGATAACGCTCCTTTTCTCGGCAGACCCGAGATGAAGGCATCTCAGTCTCTCTTGCTGTTTGCTTCTAATCACCATACGTTCGAATCGCAACCGTGGCAGCAAAGTCAGAGACTCGGCAATCATTAGTTTTTGCTTGAAAAGGGCATTGATAAGGAGTCGCCAGCCCACCGAAACCCTGCATGACGGTCGCTTCTGCTACCTCACATAGACGCATCACACGACTACAAGCTTCATCCGTGAAGCAAACGAAGAAATCTTGTGCCAAGCGTGCCAAGATATTTCCGCGTCTCTACATCATGAATATGACACTATTGAGGATGTGGAAATGAGCCCATCGGCCGTCGAATAGCCATAGCAGCCACCTCCAGGGTCTCTACCCCCTTCTTTGTTGTTTTGTGATGGCTGCCAAGTCGGCCGCTGAAGAGATACACTTGGCTTACATCGACACGACGGCTACTCGCGATGCTACAGTATTGTGTAGTATGTATGCGTTTTCCCGTGTGTCACCTTTCGCCAAGGCTGTACGAGTTAACTCAAGCCTCGCAGAATACCGCATGGACAAGCAGGATCAGCATTGCTGTGGCAGAAATCATCTAAATCAACCCGTTCTTTTTGAAATTTTCTGTGCTTTGACTGTCAATCCTTCCGTGGATTCCTCGCTAAGTTCTTGACCGGTTTTCATCATCGCGCGAAAGAATCTGCGCGCTATACTGTGGTATAGTCATGTACTCTTCAGCGTATGTTCACGCGTCTCTCCCGTCTCATCCGGCGAACACGAATCTTCTCATGCGGGCTAGTAAGAACTCATCCAGCTTAATTCCAGACCTTTCCCGACACCAACTTTCACTACATGGCCCAATACTCTTTCCCGAGCCTCTCAACCACAGCATGTATGATACTTTGCCTTTTCACCATGCGTGACTTAGCTCTGCAAGGCTTCGGAACGAGATATGAAGGGGAGGCCTGGGCAACATACAGCAACCCGGGAGTAAAGATCTCTTTTATAATGAATGCGGGAGATATCACTCCTGTGCGCTGGGCGATGTGGATTCTTGCAGCTTCGAACAGAGATGAGATTGTCCGCGACAGGTCTCGGACGGCGTGCTTCGATATGACTTATCTGGGCATCCAGATTGGCATCTGAAATTCTTTGCGCCGTACAGGATTGGTGCGGAGGCCGAGGCGAAACATACAGAGCTCGCCCCACCGCTGACATCTGGGCCTGCATCTGCTATCAACGGTACAGACCTCATCTTAAGTAGCCTAACAAAACCGGAGGATGACACCAATTCGAACAGCGACGACCTGTGGGCCGAAGTGACCTTCACGACCACTGAGATCCCGCGAGCAGACATTTCCATGTCCATCGTGCAGGCGCTATTGAACCTAGGCCCCTTTGATAGCACGGCGCAGATTACACAGCCGTTAGCAGTCGTTGGCCCTGCCATCATGGTGAAGATAGAAACCTCCTTCAAGAGAGTGGAGCGCTCTACGCCATCTTTTTCCAATTATGGTCATAATGTCAAATGCCTTGCGGGGACTGCCTTGAGTCATGTTGAGAGAGGATAAGTTCTCAGGAGTGGATATACGACTGGTCGTTGGTGGCGGAGATGTCGCTAACGGCAGGATCCGGCGGAGTCCAATGGATGCGTTGGTGGAATCGCATGTTACTGGAAATCTATCAGTGTCTTGCAGATTGGATTTCTTGCCTCTCATTCCGTTACTTGCTAACCCCTGTCTGCGTTCGTTACCCTTGAGACGTGAAAAGGTGAACCGGGAACTCCCAAGAGTGAAGAATCCAAGATGCCATGCGGCAATATGCTAGTGCTTCAAAGCTTGTCTTGCCAAGCCAGTCCTCAAAGCGTTTCAGCGACACTTTTCGAGGGACGTGGAACCTGGGAAACTCCTCCGCAGAGCACCCCGATCCGTACGTCGTCTCCCAGGTTCTCGGATCTCTGCACAGCTTACGTTTACCTCGTAGGCGGCTTGCACCACGGTCACCCCGACATCGAGCTAGGTATTTTCCGGCTTCGAAGCCATTCGAGAAAGGTTCTATGGGAATGAGTAGGCTGTCCTCTATCTCTACCCGCTCTTCGTCAAGCTGTACATCGCGGAGTTTTGTTCCATGACGCCTTGACCTCTCCGATGGGCTTCTAGCCACCTTCACAACGCAACTTGGACTCCAGACTCCGGCTGCTACCCACTTGAAGGCCGAGTGATTGCTTTCTCTTCGCTTATTCGATTACACTGTCTTGTGCATCTGGTAGCGTAGTGTGGCTCTCCCTTCGGCCTTGTCCTTCGCCGGGAAGAAATTCACCAATCTCTTAGCATTGTTTTCCGTATCCAGGGCATAGTAATCTTCGTTTAAAAGTTTGCCTTTGATATACTCCTAGTCTTTAGCAACATCATGGCCACTGGTCCTCTTCCATCCGGTGAGGCGAGCATTGCACTCGTGGTATCTTACGAAGGCCCCGCCAGCTTTGGAATCGCTCGCTCTTTTCCTTGCTGGCTTGGAACTACTCTATCTCCGCATTCCTCAGTGTGAAGAAATTTCACCATGGAGGCAACAGTACTGCAGATTTGCACTTGCAGCGATAAACGTGGGACTTCAGAAGGAACCGGTAAGTCGCCAATCATACCGGCGGGATCAAGTCTCTGCTGGAGAGTCGCGTATTACTTGAGTCGTATTCGACACGGAGAGACACCGAATTGGCCGATACAGGTTTCGTTTCGGTGATCGCAGCCAAGGCCTTTTTTTCTTCTCCTGTGACTGCGCCATTGCTATTTTCAATATCAAAGCAGATGCCGAGGCTCTGTTGGGGATGAGTATTGGATCAGACTGTATGCCCAACATTTCGTCCGTCAGCCTGCAGCAGCATCCTTGATTTCCAGCGCAGTGGCCAGGCACTTTGGACTGAACCCAAACCCGTCCTCCATACTTCCTCCTTCAACTTACACTCCTCACTTCCCTCAAAGCTGGACCGTGTTCTTCCTCGCCGCCATCACCCTCGCTCTACCTCTGTACACCACCGCCTTTCCCCAAATACAGTCCCCGACAGAGGATTTCGAAAACGAGGGGACTATTTTCGTCTTTAAGAAAACAGCGATCCTCCCCAACCCCCCGGAAAACTAACAAGAAGCTTATGCTTGCATGAGTCGATCCGTGATGGGATCCACACACTTCATAATCCAGTGGCCACATGGCACGGCTCCATGATCATCGTAGATCTCCGAACGCAGAGCGATCGTGAGCACGAAGCCAGGTCCGGGTCGATGAGATGATATCTGCCAACCGGTTTCCACACTTCAAGCTGATGAGCTTTTGATAGTGTTGAATAGAAGCATCAACAAACCGTCGAGACAGCGAACATTGCCCGCTTCAAGGGGCGGAAGGCACGATTGCCGAGACGGCGCTATGCGGATCTGGAGTAAATGTTGTGTGTGATATGCAACCAGCGCGGTGTGCGAGATTTGCATTTGCCCCATAAGCCCTGAAAGCATGTCGGGATGGGTGAACGTTACAGGTTTACCTGATGTTATTGATGCGCTAGTTTTCTCCTTTGCTCGATACGGTGATTCTCATTCTGTATTGCTTGACAGCACAATCTCATCCCGAAATCGTACATTCGAGGCCTTCGATGCCGTTGCAGTGGGTCCGTAATTGTTGAGTTTACCGTCGTGCATGTCCCTTCGTGGTCCCATCTTTGGAGATCTACGGCTTTCAGAAGTTAACATTTTGGCTCGACTCAGTTTTGAGACGTTCAGGGTATGTGATTGCACTGTGGGCGTTTTAATCCGTCAGTCTCTAGCAAAACGTCACAACAGTTCTGGAACCGTTCTCCCCTCCTCCAATGACTCTCCCATCACCCTCATTTTCACATTCATTTCACGCCTCATGAACCCTGCGCATCTGCTCCGCCAACATCAACCTCCGCGTCTCCATGCGAGCTTCGCTCTGCCTCCTCGCCTCACGTTCTACATGCGCCGTCGGAGACACACCGTCAGACTCGTCATCGCTGCTCGTATCTCCCGCTTGGGACTCGTCATACTCCACCGACTCCTCGCGCGCCGGCGCAGTCTCCGGAGCTTCGCTGCCTCGCGGGTCCGCTTCCGACCCCGCCGTTGCTGGCTCCGGTGACGGATCCCACATCCCTACGATTTGTATGTCCGGTTGCGGTTCTTCGGGGCTCGGGGTTCCTGGCTCGGGCGTGTCTGCTGCTGGCTCCGCGTCGATCGTGCACCCGAAGTTGTTGGGCCGCAGGAAGATACAGTCGAAACAGTGGCCGTCGCCTCGATAATTCTCTGTCCTTGGCCACCTGTATCTCATCAGTTCTGTCCACTGAATGTCATCCGTAACGACTTACCATCCCTCCAACTTCCCTCCCTTGCACACCAGAGTCCGGACATAACATTTGACCTCATTCTCGGCAACGGTTCGCGCACAACGACCCCCGTGGACCATGTCGTGTCGGAACGCGTAACCTGTAGGGATGTATGTGCCGACTCCGCTGGGGTTGAGAATGGTCCATGGGCCGACCCGCTGGTAGAGATGGCTGCTTGAGTAGGGGTTGACGCCGAGCAAGGCAGAATGGCAAAAATGGATCTTTCGGGCTTCCAGTGGAAGTGGGACTGTTGGCGGTTCCGTCGACTCACGGTAGAGGAACGAGGGGTGAGGTATAGGCATTTTGATGGGCTTGTAAGTTCCAGTCAGTCACCTTGTACAAGCTTTGATATTTAAATTCCTTTGAAAGCAGTGTGATTTTAGTTGACCAGGTAGTGGAAGATCTTGCACTGTGGTAAGAAAGAAGTGGTTTTATCCCATATTTGGCGCCAGGGCATGGCAACGGCTGGAAGATTTTTTTACGAGGGAATTGGCCGTTATTCGGAGTGGTATTCTAAATAAAGGTCATGAAATTGATCTCAGTCGGAAGTATCCTTTGAGTCTAGCCTTACAGACGGGTCCTTTCTGGTCCATGATCTCGTCCATGGTCCTGGCGCTGCAAATTGTAGAGATCCAGAGAGGAACCAGAGCACTGTCACAAGATCAATCTTCGCACCTGACCATTGGGATTCGAGTCTCTTATTTTTCTTTAATCATGAAGATATGCCTTCTGGGACTATTCCAAGGGCTGGAATGGACTCTCTTACCTCGCCCTCCATGTTGTTCGTTCCTTCCGATGAGGGAGAAAGATTTGCTGTAACCCGCCAAATTTGAGCACTTTCGAGCTCATATATTTTTTTATGTTTACTCTTTGCCACACCCTTAATGAGCTCTGCAGATCATTCAGCTTTTCATTCACCATACACGTCACCTTGCAAGCGCGACCGTACTACTCTCCGCAGGCTTATAGAGATCTTTCAGCCACGCGGACTATCTGAAATGGCAAGGATGGAATACCGACTGCTGCAATTCCACTACGAAGGCGCGAACTGCGACTGCTCGAATGCCCGTATGCCTTGCCTTCCTAGAAGCATCAGCAACTTACGCTTGCTAAAGACTCACGACAGAAGATAGAAAATGGCACATCACGAGCGCGGCCGAAGCTGGTATTCCGCTTTCCACAGCCCCCATCCCCAACACGCCCGACGATTTCCTGGACCTGGGCCCGAGAAGACATGCGTTCCTCGCGAAGTTGTTAGGTACAGGGGGGCGATGGGAGGGATGGTATGGCAATGCAAAAGGCTTTTCTCGATGAGTGGGATTCAGGAGAACTAACACCAACTGTTAGGAAGCTGCATGCCGTCAGTCAGAATGGGTATCCGGATGATCACATCACGAATGTCATCATCACGCGAGAGAAGGAGCCGGTGCCGGTGTCAGTGGCGGATGAAGAATGGGACGTGCTGGCTCGAGGGTCTCCTAGTTGTTTGTGAATTTTTTTCTCGTTGTATTCGAAAGTCTAAGAATTAGTAGGGAGATAGGTGTCAAGAATTTCAATTGCGGAGAAACCTAGAATGTAGGATGGGCTGCAACTTGGTCCGCCAAGGCCTGTCAGCTGTCTGTAAATGCTAGCGATGTCCATTTGTTGCCTCCTCATCTCATTCGAATTTGAAAAGTTCGACTTTCGCTGCTCAATCACGACGTTTAGAACGGCCAAGGATGGATGGAATGGGCTCGCCTGTCTTGTAATTCGGTCAGGATTCCTAGAATATCCTCCTAAGCCTCACAGAAATACTACTATATAAGATCATTTTTATACAACGGATCCGCCTCCACCTGCGCCTGCCACAGTGGCCAAGCTTTTGTATAACTCCCTTGATTCATCGGAACACAATCCGCCGCTTCTCTCGGTGTCAAGTACTTTAATGTCTCTGCGCTCGCTCCATACGCATTCTGGATCTCCAAGGCCGAAGCCTGCGTCTCGGCATTCCAGGCTGTGTATACGGCACGGTAGACAGATTCTTCAATGCTCGTACCCACAGTCGCGAATCCGTGGCCACGCTGAAGGACGAGAGTGTAATCAGGCTCCATGTTATTCTTGGTTACATTGTTCGCCAGGGTGGAAAACATGTCAGCGAGCGCGTCGCCGAAACGGGTGTTGCTGATGAGCATGTTCTACGTATCGTTTGGAAGGTAGTAATTGGCGATATCAAAGACGGGAACTTTTTCACCAACGAAACCAGCCATGTGGTAGGTAGGCTTGAAAGGAACCTCACTTATGCCGAAAGGAATGACTTTAAGGTCATGGCTGTGGACCACGCTGATCTGACTGGGGTAGCGTTTCAGGATGCCCTGGTGGATGAAACGTTCAGAGTAAGGACTTTGGGCGGCATGATCGGCGGACGGTGTGACTGCAGAGCCATCACTGATGTAGAATTCGTTGAGATCTGCCAGGCTTTGTACAAGGGCTGGAGGTGGGTCGCCGGTCATGAAGAACGTGGCATTGTTGTTTGGGTTGCGGACGGAGACGTGGCCGAGACCGTCGACGATTTAACTGTAATCAAGGATGTGGTTTGCTGTAATGAGTGTGGACAAGAATTGAGTGAGGTTGACGGCTACCATCTTGGCGGTTGGGCTGGATGGCAATTCTGAATCTTGACCAGAGGGCAGTAGATATAGAGCTTGCCTTGCCCTTTATAATACAGACACCACATCTTAGATGATCCGATGAAGGATTAACATACCTGGTGACATCACGTCGCTCTCGTTGCAGCTTTACACTTTTCTGTGCAGAGCATCCCCCTGCGAGGAGAAGGACTCCGAGCCTGCAAGACATGTATGCATCTTTCCGTTTACTACGAAGGGAGGGAGAGGCCTGCAAGACAAGTATGCATCTTTCGGTTTACTAGGAAGGGGGGGGGGAGAGGCATGATCAAAGTCCACCCCACATAAGTCCCACGCTAATGTCAATGCCGTCGCCATAGGCTCTCGAGATACTCGACACTCGACCACAAAAGCGGCAAGGGGCCGCGACATATCCGGACAATGCTGGATCCAAGTGTTGCGTAACACTGTCTTTAGCATCCTCTATGCCGACTTGTAACCGAAGTGGTACGTTTCTGCGCGAAAGCAAGCCAGGATTTAGTGTACAGCGCTTCTACGGCAATCCACACGAACGGTGCGAGGGATGCTACGGGAGCCGAGTCTCGGAGTCTCTCTCGGCCTCATCGGTTTCAATGCAGCAGCCGATCGATGACCTTTCATTCAGCATAAAACACCATCATGCATAGATAGGTCGCAGAGGTTGCCGTCTGAGCATGGCACAAAGCAAGTATACCCCACACAGTTGAGGCAAGCGTCAACTCGCTTGGTGAGTATCGATTTGATGTTGGGGAGAGATGAGAGATACAGGAAGAGCATGAACGGATGCGTACGCGTGATAGCGATCGTGCCCATGATGGAGGGAACAACAGGCAATAGATTCGTAATGTTGTTGGTAAGAATGATTGTGCACATTGACAATATGGAAGAGGAATAGGTTGGAACAAGGTCAGCCTAAGGGTTTTTTTGTTGTTGTTATTATTGCTAAAGAAGGTGACTAGTAACATGGAATCTGCAGGAGGCGGAGAGGCATGATCTTGATTGTTCCTAAGAAGAACATCTCGTGAACATGATAGATACTGCCGGAAGCATATGGCTTACATAGACTCGGTTCGTGTAGGGAATGAAAAGGCTGTGGAGATTTCTTTCCATTTTTAGTAGATTTGCTTGCAAAATTATCCAAATGTGCCGTCACATGGAGACAGCAGCCCATAATATTTTCTATATGCCAGATGACAAATAAGATTTCCCTCAAGATATCCAATCTCAGACATCATCAGCGGGCGTGTAGTCCATGGCTTCGGTGGCATCGTCCTGAGCTGCAGCAGACGAAGAAGACATAGCCAAATTAATATCGTACTGGCTCGCTCTGTTGTCTCGCGCCTTCGTGGGCTTTGTTCGTTTGGCTTTTGCTATCCCATTGGGTTTAGCTTTAGTGGTCTTGATCTTGGATCCTTTGGATGCCTTTTTACCGGGAAAAAAAACAATAAGAAAAACCCCACGTCCATTCGTGAGTCTACCGTTGATTTCGTCGTTGAATTTTGATGATCGATGTGTAGACAGTTGGTGATGGAAGTGAGGCTGTGGAAGATGTTTTGCCCGGAGCATGGGCGCTAGCGCTGAGAACGGCAGCGATCGAAGTGAAGCCGTGAGGAGTCACTTTCATAACACACTCGTTGAGTAGAAGTCGGAGAAATCAAGGATTCCTCCTTCATTTGACATAAGCCACGCGCAGCTGATGGTCCGTTTCTAAACATATTTAGCTTGCTCGATGAAAAATTAAATATAAAAAAAAAACCCAAATTGGAATTTTTTTTAAAATTTTTTTTTTTAATTAAAAAAATTTTTTCCCTAAAAAATTTTTTTTTTTTTTGTTTTTTTTTAAAAAATTTTTTTAAAAAAAATTTTTTTTTATCTTCTTAAACCTGTTTTTTGAAAAAAAATTTTTTTTTTTTTTTTTTATATTATTTGTTGTTGGGGGGTTTGGAGCTGGCATTGTTGGCGTCTGGGTAGGATTTTCAACTTGCATGGTGCCATGTTGGAAAGTCAGGAGATATAACTGTCCCGATGGGTAGACGCTGAAGCCTAAGGTGGGTGATGGAGAGGCCGGTGAAATGAGGTGGGGATCAGGTGTCTGGGGAAGACGGCCTGATAGGTCGTGGTAAGTATTAGCCTGATAATACTTAAGAATTCATGCAGCAGGGTGTATGCTTGGGGGCTTTCTGTGATTACCTGCGGAAATGGAGTCGGATCCGTGTTCATAATCAGAACTGTCTCCCCCGCTTTTGTCCATACCAGCCTCCAACTTGTCACTGGACCAGTGTTCGTTGGAAATCTCCCCATCAGGGAGACCTATCTAGGCAACCCACAATGTGCCCTCGTCCCCGTCCTGTACAACCTCAGCTTCAACACTCTCAGCCTCCCTTAACTAGGACGCAGAACCCGAGGGTTGCTCTCCAAACCCAAACTGCGCAGAATGCCTGGGTTGCCTCGCTGGCTGTTCCGGCACGTTTGGTCCACTTACCCTTAGAAACATCATGGATCCAATGGCATTCTGTGTTCCGCTGGCCTCAGTTGGTCAGGGGAATCAACAGGAGGTGTGAGTGTACTTTGTAGCCGTTGGGACGTGGAGGGTGTGGGTATATATATGTAAGAATGTGGATGTCAAGTGCTGAGAAAGCGTTATGACAGCTTAAGAAGTATATTGAAACCTTTGTACGGTGGTGCAATTATATAGAATACGGCCTGAAGGAAGGCACGAAAAAGAAAGCATGAAGAGGAGGTGGGTTCAACGGCCGGGGGAGCAGATGATGGCACAACACATTCGATAGCAGGTTTATATCTTCCAGTGAGGCCGTGAGAATATCCTGATGCTGACCTACTGCAGCACAATTCAGATTCCCCCCGGGGGTACCATGGTAACAGTCTACGAGAAGTAAGCATCGGAACGGAAAAGAATGACTTATTATATAGGAGTCTCTGAAGCTGTCTTTGACACAGAATTGGCGTGGTGAATTGCCCCAGCCAATCATCTATACGAATATGACCGCTAAGATTACAGAATATCATGGGACAACTTAGCCGAACGAATCACAGTTGTCAGGGCTACGTGAATCGAACAAATAAACGCCGAGCTGGGTGCTTGGCAAAAAAACCCCCTTTTTTTTTTTTTTCCCCCCCCCTCCTTTAAGATCAACGATCCGAAGCTTTAGGGTGCTTGGCACAATGATCTGTTCTTCATCCCTCCTTTCGGGGCTTATTGCTTACCATTTGCTGAAATTTTGTTCCCCGCCCCTTTCGAAGTAGGGTTAGGGTCATTAGTGTCTGGATTCGTTGGACGTATAGCTGGATCTCTCTGTCTTTGCCGTGTCAAGTATTTCGTTGTCATTTCCACTACTGCTAAAAATAAAGGGCACACAGACTAAAGTTGTGTGATTTCTACTACCGTAAGAAATGAAGAGTAAATCAACTTGGCAAACACTACTTTGCTTCATTATGTTTCCTGCTTGTATCACTTTGAATCACTTTGGTCGACCTTTAATGTCTCTAAGGCATTGAACTTTCCTCACTGTGGAAGCATCGTTTTGTGAAAATGTGTCTTCCATGTATGCAATTAAATAGTTAGGCTCGCCTGAATCCTTCGCCGTAAGCCAAGGGATTAGGAGCCCTTGCAATGTGCATCCACATTGTACAGGCTCCGGTCAAAGAGGCAAGCCACTGTCTCTCAAATGGTAATCAGGCCTTCGTAGCTAGTGATCTGCTCATATTATTGCGAGTACATCATTCAGATCCATTTGGCTCACACTCCCAACCCTTACATAAGCAATTGAAATCAGACTCCTACAGCTATGCAGATGCGTCAATGCTTGCCGAGATCGACAGCCGGGTAATCTACGGGCCAGCAGGATCTCTACCCCTGCGGTAACTAACATATTCCTAGAACGCTATGCTCTCTGGCACGTAATGGGCGCCCATACAGGAGGAGTACCGCTCTCGGATCCTGGACCTAGCACGTCAGCTTCGATACTGAGTCTAGACGCACAGAGGCAAGCATTTCTGCTGGGCCTATTGAACAAAAGCAGCGAGTGGCAAGGATGGTAAGTGATCGATGCTGTACTCCAAAGCCCTAATCTCACTTTCTGTAACAAGGCGTCTAAATGGTGTTGGGCCCTTGGAGGAAGCGCCATACCCGACTTGCAATATCATCCTTGTCCGGGAGATGGAAGAAGCTTTGGAGTGTGAAGGCACCACGATCGAGGAGCGGGATTGGTTGGACGTGGAACCACCGAGCTATGCAGCGGCAAATCACCCAGTAATGCAACAGTAGAGGATGAGGACTAGACACTGCATCTTGGGTTGGCATCCAATCGTTTGACACTGGTATATATGCACTAGTCGAGGGTTCTGGTTTCGGAGCTGTTGACATGTTAGATTGTAAGAAGCGCAACAATCTTCCAGCCGAGACTCCTCTAACCAAGAATAGACATCGTTCTATCTCGATGGATACAGGTTCGTGCGTGATACAAAGCAAGTTTATCTAGGCCCAATTGGGTCGTGTGTATTGTAGGTAAGGTAGGCTGGGACCGTGACACTGCTGAACCGTATGTTGCTGAATCGATAGGAAGACCTTGGTGTGAATGTTTTGGCCGCAAAGGAAGCAATGTATCATGTGTCATAATATTAATGAATAGATTAATAAATCTACTTATACTCTAAATAATAGAGTAGAGTACGCTACTGTTATCGAGACGCGCTTATATAAAAATATCGCCTTTAATCTCTAGAAGCGGAGATTAGTTCGCTTAAATAAAATAAAATATTTATAAATCGTAGTCGTAATAGCGGTAATAATATATTAAGATTATTAGCGACTTTAGAAATAAAGAGAACTATAAATAATATTATATAATAATATTATTTAGCGACCTCGAAAAATAATTTAATTAGAGAAATTACTAATCTATTATAAAAAGAGTATTTGAGAATATCGAGCTCTAATATGGAGATAAAGCGAGGCGTTTCGCCTAATCTCGAAAAACTTTCTTATTAAAAAGAATAAGATTCTTTAAGCTTGTTAATCTCTTAATAATGATTAGAAAGAACTATAAACTAATAAAAGAATAGATTTTCGAATTATAATTATATATAGTAGAAGTTTATTAATTTTCTATTAAATTAAATTAAGAACTTAATAAATCGAGGATTTAACGTTACTTAAGCGTATACGAATACTAATTAAAGATAAAATTAAACTATACGTTAATTTAATAACTATTTTTAATCGCTAAAAGTCTAAATAAATCTTTATACTAAGAATTAATAAGTATATTACTTATTTATAAAGCTTTATATAAATCTTCGCTATTAATTAATTAATATTTAAATTATATTAATTAAGCGATATAGATTTCTAACGCTTATAATACGCTTAGAGAATAGTAATAAAAAGTAAGAATCTTTTAGAGAATATAAAGTAAATAGTATTTCTAATCTATAAGAGAGTTAATAGAGAGAAAATTAAAATTCTTAATATAAGAAATCGTAGTTATCGCGAAGATAAAACGACTTCGATTTAAAGAGTAAATAATCTCGAGATTATAAGTCTAAGAATAAATTTAAGAATAATAAGTTTTATTTAAATAGTATAAAATATTATAATTATAAAGAAAAAGAGTATTACGTTAATATCTATATTAGATTAAAAAAATAGAAAATAAAAAATCTTAATAATATATCGATTAATTTAATTAGTAATTATAAACTTTATATAATTAACTTAATAAAAATGAGAAATTCTTATCGAAGACTTTATAACGAGAATAAAAATAGAAGTAGTATTTATTTTATCGTTAATCTACGAAAAAAGAGTACTTTTAAATAATTAAGACGAGTTATAGACTCTTATTAAAATCTATTTTAATAATAATATAAAGGTAAATATAATAAGTTAGCGTTTTACGATTAAGTAGAATCTAATAAAGATTAATAATCTTTTATTAAAATTTATATAAATAAATAAAAAATTAGTATATTACTATAATACTTACTCGATTATCTATCGCTTATAAAATAGTTAAAAGCGTATTAAGCGCTATAAATATATTTTCTACGCTATTAATAAAAAAGATTCTCTCGATAGTTTTAGATCTTTCGATCTTAATTAATAAGCGAATTAAGATAAATATAAAAGATCGAATCTAGCGTTTCGACGTTAAAAAGTAATCGCTCGAGATTCTAGCGTTATAATAATTCGCGGATATTTTAAAGAAGTATAAAACTATTTATATATTAGTTATAGTCGAAATAATAATCATAGATAGAGAATATAAAACTAATATAATTAAAATATAGAATATTTATATAGATAGCGTAGAGATTATCTTTAAACTTTCTAATAAATTAAAAGAATATAAAGATATATTCTTATTAAAAGAAGTAAATCGATTATTATTATATAAAAATCGCGATTATATTATCGAAACTACGGCGGAGTTATTATTTAATTCGCTATATAATTTATTTAATATAAAGTTAATAACGCTAAGAATCTATCTTAATAAAGCCTTAGCGAAGAATTAAATAAGATATTTTACGAGTTTAATAGAAGC